CCCCACAGCCACTGAGCCCTCTCTCCTGGCACAGGGGGACAGCGGGAGTCCCCTCGTCTGCAAGGACAACACAGCTGACTACTTCTGGCTCGTGGGCATGAACAGCTGGGGAAGAGGCTGTGACAGAGCCAGGCACCCCGGGATCTACACCTCCACTCAACACTTCTACAACTGGATCCTGCTCCAGACGGGCCTGAGCCCAGCAGACATAACCGGATCAGCACCAGAGCCGAACTGCGCCCCGACTCCTAAGCCAGAGGTCACCTTGACTTCTGCAGAGACCCCGATGGCAGAGCCAGAGCCAGTGCCAGAACCAGAGCCGACGACAGTGACAGTGCCAGTGCCAGAGCCGACGACAGTGAGAGTGCCCGAGCCAGAGCTGGCAACAGTGGCAGTGCCAGAACCAGAGCTGGCAACAGTGGCAGTGCCAGAACCAGAGCTGACAGCAGTGCCAGAGCCGACGACAGTGAGAGTGCCAGAGCCGACGACAGTGAGAGTGCCAGAGCCAGAGCCGACGCAAGTGCCAGAGCTGACGCCAGAGCCAAACACTGCCCCTGTGCCCGAGGAGGAGCCGGTGTCAGCACCGGAACCGGAACCAGAACGGAACCCGGACAGGCTCATGCGCATCTCGGTGCCGTACCAGAGCCTGCTGAATTTCTGTAAACTGCTCAGGGATTTCTTGCAGTTCCTGCGGGAGCAGCTGGGCTGACCCGGAGCCCGAGCAGAGCCGGTTCTGGCTGCGGTCCCGGCCCGTTCCCGGCTGGGATCGCCACGCGGGGCCCGAGGCAGCCGCAGCCCGGGGCTGCTCCGTCCCTGCCGCCCCCCGCCCGCCCCTCGCTGCAGTCCCGTTTGTTGTTGAAATAACGCTGCTCGTGCTGCCCAGAACCGCGGTGTCAGCGCCGTTCCCGGGCAGGGCGGGGGGGCCGGGCCGGCACCGGCACCGGGAGGGAGAACGAGCGGGGCTGGCCCGGTTCGGGACGAGACAAGGGCGGAGTCGGGGCCGAGTGGGAAAAGCGCTTTAATTTGCCATGGGAGCGGCGCGGGGATGGAACGGCCCGAGCTGCGAGTCCCGGAGCCCCGAGGGACGCGCAGGTGCCGGAGGTGCCACCCTGAGCTGCTGCGGCCACCCAGGGCTGTCCCCGGTGTCACCGCTGCTGCCTCGGAGCTGCCGGGACCCCCCTCAGCCGGGAGCGCGTTTGGGATCCCTGGATCCGGGACATTCCCTCTGTTCCAGCGGGATCGCTGCTCCAGGAGCTCTCCTGGCTCTGGAGAAGGTTCTGGAGCGTGGGCGCGCCCGGAACGAGTCAGGGGTCCTGGATCCCGCGATCCACCGGGATCCTGAATTCTGCTGTGTGGACGTGGTTCGGGGATCTGCCGCGGGCTGGGCCGGCTGCCCCCGAGGGCCGCCCTTCATGGATATCCACAACCCTTCATGGATATCCGCAATTCCCGGCTCGGGGGGTGTCGGAGCCCCCCATCCTGCCAGGAACGAGGGTACCCCGGGCCGTGGGGGCGGGCACAGGGCGGTGGCACCGGGGGCTCAGCGGGGCTCCAGGCCCCAGGCTGGCAGCGGGGTGAGCCCGGGGGGCAGCAGGGCGAAGGGGGGGCTCTCCAGGGGCTGCCAGGGCGCTGGAGCGGAGCTGCCGCCGGGAGCCAGACCTGCGGGATGGGCACGGGGCTCAGGCACCGCCCCCGGCCCGCCGGGCCCTGCCAGCGGACACCCAGGGGACCCCCACCCCCAGGAGCCCGGGGGTCCCGCAGCTCCCACCCTACCCGTGCCCCTCGTACCGCAGACAGCGTCGTCCCAGGCGCAGGGGCCGGAGGCGCAGAGGTGCAGCGGGGCCGGGGGTCGCGAGGGGGTGGCCAGGCCGTGGAGGGGCTGCGCCGAGCCCGCGGGGGTGTCCGGGAGGGGCTGTGTGGCACCAGAGAGCGCGGTGTCACCGCTGCGGTGCTCCGGGTCACCCCCGAAGGCACCGGCTGAGGGTCGGGGCGCTCCGGACGGGGAGCGCGGGCTCCGGAGCGTGCCGGAGCTTTTTGGGGTGTCCCCACCTGTCCTACCTGTGCGGCGGGACCGAGGGCGGGCGGGATCCAGTGGCACCAGGAGCCTGCGAGGGCACGGGCGGGGACAATGTCCGGACCCAGCCGGGCGCACACGGAGCGCTCGGAGCCGGCAGCCCGGTGCTTTCCCCAGCTCCCAGCCGGGATCCGGGAAGCAGCCCCAGGTGTCCCAGCACCAAATTTCAACCCCTGGGCCCCACCCCCTCCTCGGGCGGCGGGTCCCACGTCCCCTCGGCCCCCGGGCTGTCACCTGCGCCGCCAGCCTCCAGCTTGTTCTCCCGTCGCCACTTGGCTCGGCGGTTCGAGAACCAGACCTGGGGAGAGGGAGGGAGATGAAGCTGCCAAAAGCTGCCAAACCCCCCCAGACCACGGCACCCGGGAGCGCCACGGCCCCTGGGAGCTGCTCCGAGCCCCGGGACACGGGCTGGTCACACCCCGCGAGAGAGCGGGGACACGGGTGGGACACGGGCAGAGAAAGGGGGTCCATCCCAGACATGGCACGGGCCTGGATGTGGGCATGGGCAGGGGCGAATGAATGCCCACGTCTTGATCCCAAGCTCCGCGGAGGGACATGGGCACGGGCATGGACGTGGGCAGAGGAAAGGGTCCGGTTCTGGGCATGGTCAAAGGAAGGGTCTGGGGCTGCTGGGAGGAATGTGTGAGGGGAGTGTGCCAAGGAGTGTGCCAGGGAATGTGCCATGGAATGTGCCAGGTGTGCCAGGTGTGCCATGGAGAGACCCCCCATGGAGTCGGGGACAAACCCAGCCCTGGGGAGTCACTGCCACCATTTGGAGCCTGTCCCCCGTTCTGGGACAGCCAGCGGCGGTGACACAGTTTGGAGCCGTGCCCTGGGCTCCCTGTGCCCGGAGCTGTCCCCCTCGATCCCAGGGGTCTGGCCGGGCTGTCCCCGTCCCCAGGACGTGGCCGCGCTCCCGCTCGGCCGTGCCGGTCCCCGCTTACCCTGACGGTGCTGTCCGGGAGCTGGGTGGCCGCGGCCAGGCTCTGCCGGGTGGCGGTGTCCGGGTACTGTCCCCTCTGGAACTCTGCCAGGGGCATCGGGGTGAGACGGGAGGAGGCGCCAGGACGTGTCTGCAGCCAGACCCCGGGGCCAGACAACTGGGGTGCTCCGGGGAGGTTAGGGGCGTTCTGGGGTAGTTTGGGACGCCCTGGGATGCTTTGCGATGCTCTAGGGAGGTTTGGGGCCCCGCAGTGATGGCCAGGCCACCCACAGGGGCACCAGCCCATCCCGAAATTCCCCCAGTTGGGATCAGCCCCGCCCCGTCCCGCTCGGAGCCGGCAGCCCGGTGGGAGCGCACCTTTCTCCAGAGCCTCCGCCTGCTGCCTGGAGAACACGGTCCTGTTCCTGCCGCCGCTCCGGTGCCGCGGGCCCCGCGGGGGCTGCGGGCTGCCCGGGGCCGGGGGGCGCTGCGGGCCCGGGGCCGCGGCCAGAGGGGACACTGCGGGGACAGAGAGGCAGAAGCTGGAGGCGGACCCGATCCTGGGCGCTCCTCGGAGGGGGCGGGAAGGGTCAGGAGGGCTCCGGGCTTTAGGGCAGCCCGGCAAGGCTCACCCCGTGGCCGCGGGTCCCGGGGCTCGGTCGCCAGCCGGAGGTCGCTGGGCAGGGTCCTGAGCACGCGGTTGATGGAGGAGACCTGGGCAGGGAGAGGGGATGTGCCCGGGGTGGGGGGGACGGGACCCTCGGGGGCTGCGGATGTCCCGGAGCTGTCCCTGGGATTCTCCGCCCCGAGGCCGAGCCCGGCTGTCCCCGTTTGTCACCCAGGGCCCCGGGACTGACAGAATCTAACGGGAGGCGATGGGCGCGGCGGGGATCGGCGGGGCGGCTCTGTCCTTGGGAAGGGACACTTGTCACTTGTCGCGGGGCCACCGCGGTGTCCCGAGGCCCGAGGAGGCAGCCGGGCTCGGGGGTGGCGCTCGGGGCTCTGCTTCCCCTGGGAAGGAGCGATTTGCCTTCCCCTCCCCACCTGCCCCAGCTCCGCGTCTCACCAAGCACCGATCCCTTCCCTGTGGATCCTTCCCATTCCCGAGTTCTTCCCACGAACCCGAACCCTTCCCAGCACTCGGAGCCCTTCCCGGGGCGTCCATCCCACTGTCCCGACTTCTTCCCCGTGCATCCATCCCATTGTCCCGAGCGCTTCCCGGGCCAACCATCCCATTGTCCCAAGTCCTTCTCTGCGCATCATTCCAACCATCCCGAGTCATTCCCTGTGGATCCTTCCCATTCCCGAGTCCTTCCCACGGACGGGAATCCTTCCCAATACTCCGAGCCCTTCCCGGGGCGTCCATCCCACTGTCCCGAGTCTTTCCCTGCGCATCATTCCCAGCTCCTGCCGTGGGGCCGGACCCCCCTGCCCTGCCCTGCCCGGTCCTGGGAATTCCCGGATTCTCCGGCCGCACTCACGCTGGGGGTGCCGCTGCTGGCACAGATTCCCTCGGCGTGCAGCTGCCGCCGGATCTCCCAGGCGAAGAGCCCGGGCTGCTCCAGCTTCAGCCGCGCGATCCGGGCCACCACGGCGGGGGTGGCCATGCGGGGCTTGCTGCCCCCCGCAGCCTTGGGCCCCACGGCCCCCGTCCGGTAGTAGCGGCCCAGGATTTTGCTGACGCAGCCGTTGGACACCTGCAGACAGAACCTGAGCGCGGGGAGGGTTTGGGAGGGGAAGGAGAGCCCCAGCCCCGGCCCGGGCGCACCTTGAGGCTGCGGGAGATGTCGGAGCTGCGGGCGCCGCTCGCCGCCAGCGCGATGATTCTCTGCCTCTTACACGTGGGGAGGGGGCGGCCGTTCAGGAAGAGCCCCCCGAGCTGGTTCACCCCGCTGGGCCCTGGGGAGGGGGACAGGGCTGGCGGGGAGCGGGGTCCTGCCCTCCCCGCTTCCCAGGAGAGCTCCGGGGCCAGGAGCGGTGCTGCTGAGGGGGTTTGGGGGGGCTGGGGCTTGGTGGGACTCGATGCTGGGTGGGGGCAGGCAGGGAATGGGGGCACCAGGAAGCAGGGAAAACACCCCATGGGAGAGCACGGGGAGAATTTGGGAAGGGCAGGGGGGTGGCAGGCTGGGGGCCTGGATGTCACCGGGGGCCGGGAGGACCCTGAGGAGCCGCGGGTGAACGAGCGGCTGTGCCGGAGGGGGAATGGTGCCACGGCACATCCCAGATTCCCACCGGGAACACCGGGACACCGCGCCCGGAGCCGCCGCGTCCCTCACCTCGGTGCTGCATCGTGGAGAGGATTCAAGGTGCCTGGGAATCCCCAGTGGGACACGAGGGGTGATGCGGGGCCGGGTAAATCAGCGCCAGTGTCCAGGGCTCAGCCACAATCCTGCTGCGAGGAGAAGGGACGAGGGCAGGAATCTTGGAGCAGGGGATGGAAACACTCGAGGGCAGCTTGGGAAGTCCTCGTACTCCTTTTCCAGGTTAAGGCGCGTTCACCACCAATTCCCACAGCGAATTCCCGCAGCTTTTCCACGCGGGGAAAGATGCTCGGGAGAGCGGCGGTGCCCGGAGCGGCAGAAGGAGGTACCTGCGGAGCCTCGGAGGAGCTGGACCGGAGCGTCCCGGGAGCCGGGCGGGCGCTCAGTGCCGGCAGCGGGGCCGTGATGTCACGGCAGGAGGGAGAGGAGGACGGGGAGGAAGGGGCGGCCCG